ATTTGAGAGAGAGAGCATGAGCAGGGGAGGGGCAGAGAGATGGAGACAGAATCTGAAGCAGGCTCCAGGCTCTGAGCTATTAGCACAGAGCCTGATGTGGGGCTCGAACTCACAGACCGTGAGATCGTGACCCGAGTCAAAGCTGGACGTTCAACTGACTGAGCCACCCAGGTGCCCCTGTTTTCGTTTCTTTTAAAATTAAAACTTCAAAATTGAAAGTATAAGGTCTATAATCCCTTCATTTGAAACCCTTGGAGATATGTTTTGAAATTTATATTCCTTTCCTTAAAAATTTTTACAAAGGTATTTCTGCACATTGTATGTATTATATAACATCTTCAGTGGTGTCTGAGACAGCATGCTGGAACCAAATGTATTCAAACATATTAGTATTTCTACTATGTATATATTATATATGTATGTAATAAAATGAAATATATATACATGAAATGAAATGAAAAAAGACTATGAACAATTATGTGTCAATTCCAGGGAGGTTCTAATGCAAAATTACTTTAGATCAGGTCTAGTTTTGCCTCTAAATAGGTTATGGAAAAACTTCCGGATTCCAGATCTTTCTGGGTTTTAGAAATGTAGCAAAGGGAATTGCAAGCTCAAAGGAAATGCAAGGACTAGCTAGAAATAAAACAATAACAATAATTGAACAATTTCTTTCTATGCTGTGGTTTTTGAGGAGCTAAAGGAGGTGGTATTACTCCTTCTCCCTCTCCATTTATTTAGTAATGTACTGCCATAACATCAAAATACTATTTTTCTATATTTTCTGCCTCTAGCTCTTGGAGAGACATAGCAATACCTCTTACAAATGAAGATGATGAGCTGGCTGAGAAAATAGAAAGAGCAATGAAATATAATAATTTCAGGCTTCAAAAATATGTATTTCATCTCTGGCACTCTTATGTAAAACGTCAAAAAAAACAACTTACAGGTAAATCCTTACATAGTATTGATTTGTTTTTATATTCAGGTATTCAAAGAAGCAACACAATGGCTAAGCAGTTTGTACTAGAGAATTTATTATTATGTCTAGAGAGCTGTCATGAAATGTAAAGCCCCTAATTTAAAATATTTAATGAGATTTGTGTCAAAGGGTTTCATCGTAACAGAAAACAGTCATGTTTAAAAGAAACTTCTGTATGTATTTGTGTGAAATAGGGATCTCCTATCAGCTTTTTTACTAATAGACCCCTGGTATATCACAGTTGGGTACCAAAATTGATTATTTCTTGGTAGAGAGTTTTCCATTCATGACAGGTATTTCATTTGAAATGGGTACACGAGGATACAAAGAAAATGAATTTTCTTTTCCTTAAAACTTTGATGAGCAGGCAGTGCAAGTACATGATCTTAGGAGCAGGGATAGAGGACTCCAGCCTTTTTTTATTTTTATTTTTTATTTTTTTAATGTTTTTTTAATCTATTTTTGAGAGACAGAGAGAGACAGAGAAGGGGAGGGCAGAGAGAGAGGAAGACACAGAATCCAAAGCAGGTTCCAGGCTGAGCTGTCAGCACAGAGCCCAAAGTGTGGCTCAAACCCATGAACTGTGAGATCATGACCTGAGCTGAAATAGGTTGCTTAAAGGGGACTGAGTCACCCAGACACCCCTGGGGACTCCAGCCTTTTGTTCAGATTTTAGCCACTTCACCAAATATTGGTTTATCGTTGCTGCAAATTAGAGAATTATTTCCTCTTGATCCATTCCTGTTGGTCTCTCAGTCACAGTGAACCCTCTGAAGGTTTTGACATAAGACTGATGGACTTCTAATTCTGGGAGGAAACAATTGGTCGCAGTGAGGAAGCCACTGCCTTCTGTCAGTGGTATCCTGGGGCTTGCCTTAGTCATCCTTCTCCCTGGCCCCACCCCTGTATTTGAGATTTGGACCCTTGGTGAAAACATAAAATGGAGCAAATTCTTTAATCATAATGCATTTAACTAAATTAGAATACTATCACATGATTCTATTTCTATGAATAAGTTTGGAAATTCTGGTTTTATAAAGATGTGCTATCACATCTATTACATCTTAATTTATAAGGGCAAAGGTGATGTTTACAGGTTAATAAAGTCTCGGGAGTAGAAATCTACTGCTATCCGTAATAATTAATTTTAGAAGAAATTAAAATCAAACAAAAACTGTCAGATGCCATATTGGTTCATACTGTAGACACTTTGGGTTTTGGGGAAATATCTTTAAATATATACAATAATCTAATAACTTTTCTTTAGATACACTATTGCAGGTACAAAAGATGTTGCACTGTTACAAGCTGACAGCTATCCTAACTAAATGGAGGGATAAAGCAAGACTTAAGTATAAAAAGAGAGAAGATGAGCTGGTACGGTATCTTGGAAACTTAGTATTTTTAGAAATTTAATTTTGGTGTTACATCAATGTGGCTTCAGATAATGATGCTATGTGTGGAAAGTACTAAAATCCTGAATATTACATACTTTTGGTGGGGTCTTTATTCTTGTAATTTAATAATTTAAATTTCACTTCAGCTACCAAGAATATTTTCTAATAAATTCTGTTGTTTCAACTATGAACACTGAGAAAAATCATTTCAACATTTTGTTTAAAGTTATTGATAAAGACTAAGAATTTTGCTCAAGCAAGTGGTTAGATGGGTATAGATGTCTAAAATGGAAGAGAAACTATTTGTTGTGATAAAGACTGAATAGTTTTTTTCTAGGTAAGATTAAATTGTTATTTATTCTTTTTCAACATTTAATGTAATAAATTATAATTTTAGTATCAAATAATTTTAAAAATTACTAAATTGCTAAAATTAAAGGATCATTCTTAACTGGGACACCTCCTCCCCCCACCCCAGCAATTAAAGTAATTAATTTTTAAAAATATTTATTTATTTTTGAGAGAGAGAGAAACAGAGTGCGAATGAAGAAGGAAGGAGGGGCAGAGAGAGAGGGAGACACAGAATCTGAAGCAGGCTCCAGGCTCTGAGCTGTCAGTACAGAGCCTGACGCAGGGTTCAAACCCAGGAAGGGAGATCATAACCTGAGCCAAAGTCAGACGCCCACCTGAATGAGCCACCCAAGTGCCTCCAGGAATTAAAACAATTAAAATAGAGGATCCAAGGAAATTCCTCCAAACCTGAAAATATGTCTAGTTTGCTTAAGCTATTAGTAAATTACTATTTAATATTGTTTTAGTAAGCACAGTAACTATTAGGATCAGACAGAAAAACGCTGAAAATTTTTTAGGTATTTTATTCAGTAGGTAATATTTTATCAATAGTCTTTGAAATAAAAAGTTGGAATAAATAGGAAAGAGAAAAATAAGAAGTTAAACTCCCTGTTTTGTCATTGCCTGGTGGAGGGCAGGATCAATGCCTCCCACCGCTAACTAGTTCAGATGTTGAGACTGATGATACTACATACGTCCCGAGAGGGCATGAAAAGATCTATTGCTTACATAATCCTTGAAACAGTGCTAGAGCCTGCAAAGGATACTGACATGCATAAAGCATATTCTTGCTCTCTGGAAGTTTATTATCTGCTGGTATTGAACAGGTGTTCTTATAGGATGTCCTCTAGAATTTTGTGGAGTTCATTTTCAGTGTTGCCAGTTAAACAGTTATACTTCAGGTTCCACTGTTTTAATCTGCTTGTTCAGTGTTTTTCAACACTGTGTACTAAGCTAGTACTTTGACCTTGGCTCCCCCCATGTCTGATCAGTGATTGTCCAATGGTGCAATAAATAACTGTACGTGACTAGTCTGCTCCTTTCACACCCCTCTAAAACTGAACATCCTTGAGGCAAAATCATTCTCTTAATCATACACATACATTGAGTATAATGTTTTGCATGTAGTAGTTGACACAATTAATACATATAATAATGTATATTATACATAATATAGTATTATCCTTAATATAGATGTATATTATATAGTTAATTGAGTGTTTAGAGAAAATATTTGCTTCTAGCTATGTGATTTCTTGGCCTAATAATCACTCACTTAGGAGGGTGAAGTGAAGGAGGCAGGTATATATAATAATATGTATATACTATATATGATATATACTATATAATAATATGTAATAATTATATAACTGTATATAATATATACTATATAATAATATGTAGTAATTATATATTATATATAACTAATAATAATCAAAATTGTGTGTAACATTTGTTTGCCCTCATGGCTTTTTCTTGATTATGCAGTTTTAAGGAATGTATTGAAAGTTAAAATGGGGACTTCTTGTAACAATAAATCAGGCAAGTCCCCAGATGCTTTCTTCTGTCTCTCCTTTTTTTTTTTTTAATTTCTGTGCTAACCACCTCCTTTCCATGCCCCAAATATCAGTTCTATCATTACCAGAACCTCGACTCTGTGGGTTTCAGCTTCCTCATCTGAAGGAGGAGCTGGACCACATCTTCAAGGTTGTTGCCTGTGCCAATGTTGTCTTACAACTAATGGAAATGATCTCTAATGCCTTGGTGGTCCAGAGAATATTAAACATGCTATTGACAAGACAGTTTATATAACAATGATAGTAACAATAAATAGTGCTTAATTGGTGCTATCATGGTGGTGAGCACTGTGCTTTTTTAAAAAAAGTTTATTTTGAAGGAGTGAGAGAGCACATGCGCATATACAAGCCAGGGAAGAGCAGGATGAGAGGGAGAGAGAATGGGCCCAATCCCATGAACATTTGAAATCATGGCCTGAGCTAAAATTGAGTCAGAAGCTTAGCCAACTGAGCCACCCAGGTGCCCCACACTATGCTTGATATATATCATCTCATTTAACCTTTACAACAATTCCATGGAATTTATCAATTATTTTCATGGCAGATATTAAAACATGAACTTCAATTGCTAAAATGGAGAAACAACCTAAAACTCAAAGTAGCTGCTAATGAAGAATCCATTTTTCCTGAACCAAGTCTGTCTAAAGTCTCTCTTGAAGGCAATATTCCTGAATGTGACATTTCACTGTTACCCCAAAGAGCGGTCTCACAGGTTTGTATGAATTCATGTACCGTAACTAGTCATTTTCACAATGCTTATTTAAAGAGTGGTTTTATAAACCTTACATGGATGATGGAGATTTTATTTCAAAGATATACGTGTTTTTTTACAACTACACTTGGGTTAAGCTAATTTTTTTAGAGGCCATCCTTTTGGATGGCTATAAGATGAATCTAACAGTCAAAAGTGGGGAAAGTAAAGCTGTAGGAAATGTTTTTCTTTCCTTCCTCCTTCAAGTACATGTTGTTATTTAAGGTGGAACAGATTTTAGATACTCCAGTGCTCACTTTTCAATCTCCAATCCCTCCCTAATCTTTTAATCTTAACATTATTCCTCTATTCGGGGATGCAAATGGTCTTGTCTTATTGCAACTTTCAGTTAGTTAAAATATTTATACTATCTTTCTTCCTTAGATTGTGAATTCATAAAAAGAATCATGTAGTTACATCTTACAATTCATTGAATTGATCTCTGAAAAATAAACCATAATTCCAACTACTGGCTATATTCTCTCCTATTTTGATAGAAAAGTAACTTCTACTTTGTGAGGCTACCTGATAAGTGGTAGAAGAAGTGTAAAATATCACCTCATTCTGATTGATGGCAGCTTCACATTATAAAATCCCATGTATTAAATATACCCCTCTAAATGCACAGAATCAAGCTCAAGTTATATTTGGGAACAGGTATCTATGTATCTACACCTAATCTTGCATTTTATATAAAAATTAAAAAAAATTTTTTTTTACATTTATTTATTTTTGATAGACAGAAAGAGACAGCACAAGTGGGGGAGGGGCAGAGAAAGAAGGAGACACAGAATCCAAAGCAGGCTCCAGGCTCCGAGCTGTCAGCACAGAGCCCGAAGCGGGGCTCGAACTCACAAACCGCAAGATCATGACCTGAGCTGAAGTCAGACGCTTAACTGACTGAGCCATACAGGCACCCCATTTTTTATTTTATATTATTATTATTAATTTTTTTGCATTTTATATAGAGCATAGAATTAGGATAAGGATAGTTTTGCCCATAATTTCCTCTTTATAAATTGCCTCTGGTTTGTTTTTAAATTGGAATTCCTGTAATTTTTTTTACTGGTTTGTAATAGCCCTTTATATATTGGTAATATCAACCCTTTGCCTGGAATATATTAGAGATTTCCACCCCTCCATGCTTGATGTTTGCTTTCAATTTTGTCTGTAGAGTCCTTCAATGTGAAAAATTTTAGAGCTTTCTGTAACGAAGTCTGTCATTCTTGCCCTAATTACTTTTCCTTTTGTGCCATATTAATATGTCATTCTTAGCTGTTTTCCTAAGCTATGTCACATTCTTTCTTACCGTTTATACAGCTGTTTTTTGTCTGTGAACTCCTAAGCTGTTCACTGCTAATGTTTCTCTGTTTACTTTATCAGCGGCTGTTCTAGGGTTTACGATATGCCTTTTCAATTTATCACAGATTACACCTTCACAAAATTTTCTACCACTTTATGTATAATGTTAAAACTCTCTACTTCATCCACATTGTTGCAAATGGCAACATTTCATTTTCATTTCATATACCACATTTTCTTTATCCATTTGTCACTTGATGGACACTTGAGCTCTTTTCATAGTTTAGCTATTGTTGATATAGAATATATTTATTATTTTGTTGTTTTCTTATTGAAGTATAATTAGTGTACAGTGTTATATTAGTTTCAGGTGTATAATATGATGATTCAATGGTTCTATACATTACTCAGTGCTCATCACAATTAAGTGTGCTCTTAACCTGCTTTGTTTCACCCACCCCTCCACTCATCTCTCCTCTGGCAGTCATTAGCTTGTTTTTTTTGTTTTGGTTGTCTTTTTTTTCTTTGTTCATTTGCTTTGTTTCTTAAATTCCACATGAGTGAAATCATAATGATATTTGCATTTCTATAACTTATTTCACTTAGCATCATACCCCCTAAGTCTATCCATTTGTTGCAAATGCCAAGATCCATTCTTCTTTATGGCTGAGTAATATTCCATTGTGTATATATATGTGTATATATATATATATGTGTGTGTGTAATATTCCATTGTGTATATATATGTGTATATATATATGTGTATATACATATGTGTATATATATGTGTATATATATATTTTATACATATATATATATATATAT